ATATGATATGACCTTCCAAGTCATAACTTTTTTTTTTAAATTAGGGGTCGGTGCGTAAATCAAAACTTTTTCGATGATTTTTTTTTATATCTCGGGTAAATAATGTCTGATTTTAAAATGTTGTACCTTGTTGAATGCGAACGGAACTCTACCATCAATTCGCATTCAAGCAAATTAAACATCGTTTTGTTAAAAAAATGTTGTAGACAGAAAACCGATTCGTTCGTAAAGTCAGTTATTGATGATTTTTTAGAATATTTCGGTTAAATAATGTCTGATTTTAGAAATTTATACAATTTTTGGATAAAGGAAATCCAAAATTCCAAATCGACAAAATGGCAAGGGGTTACATCACGTTTTTTGTTTCAAAATTGAGGTCGGTGCGAAAATAGCTCCGCGCGGAGATATGACCTTCCAAATCATCACTGTTTTTTCAAAATCGAGGTCGGAGCGAAAATCGAAACTTTTTCGATGATTATCCCCTGAGCCCATTAACATTTGTATTGTATATATTGTATTTGTGCAAAATCCAAATGTATGTAACAGGCAGAAGGAAGCATCGCCGACCCCATAGGGTATATAAATTCTTGATCAGCATCAATAGCCGTGTCGATCTAGCCATGTCCGTCTGTCTGTCCGTATGTATGAACGCAAGGATCTCAGAGCATATAAGAGCTACAGACTTGAAATTATTATGAAATTAATTTAGATGTAGGTGCTCCTAGTGCCTGCGCAGATCGAGTTTGTTTCCGATAATCGATAACTTACTCCATTTCCAAGCAATCAATAAAAATCGATATCGACATCCTTTTTTTTTGGGCAATTTTGGTAAATAATAAGAGCTAGAGTCACGAAACATGACGAAACATGATACTAAAATAGAATATATATATGCGTTTGATGTTGGAAGAACAGGGTTCAGGGTATCCCCTAGTCGGGAGCGCCCGAGTAGAACCTCTTACTTGTTGTCGTTGCTGTTGTTCTGATTTTTGAAGTGGCGCTAACTGCTGCCTGTCAACTGAAATTATTTTTTGAAAGCCACTGCTGCGAGGGTTGCTACCAAACAAACAGTCCCTAAAGCAAACCCCTCCCGAAGTAACGTCTAAAGTATTTTAGCAAAGAAAACCCTTAAGTAAAGTTTTTGTTTTTACTGGCTTTTGTTTAACCAGTTACTTTAGTCTTCGTTATAGAAATGTTGACAAATCAACAAAAAGTTAAATTCTCCTTGATTTATCTATCTTTATTTATCTTTCTTAATATATACCACATGGATATATCTTCAATTAAATATATCTAAATGTTCTATTCTTATTTAATTAAACAGTTCAAATGAAACTTTTATGAAATAAATATTAATACAACTTTTTCTGCAGATAAGTTTACCAGGAGATGATTTTGTTTTTGTTTAATAGGAAGCTGATACCTTAAACCGATCGGAGAGATCGATTGGATGAGACCATCGTAATCTCCTCCGCACTCGGAGCTCTCCCATTCCCAGTCTCTAGCATTCTATTAATCGTTAAGTTAAAGGTCTTGACAATCATATTGTCTTTGGTCCTGACTAGCGTTTAGCTTGCGCCAAGTACGCCAACACTTGTCTGTTAGGTCATGCGATTTGAACACGTGCCTGCTTTTTATTAGCCAGACAGCTGCGGTAAAGGCTAGCCATTTTTTTTTTTTTTGAGAGCTCTCTGGAAATTTACAAACTGCACAATGAGTGGCGACCAAGATGAATTTATGTTTGAGCATATTGATGGTACTTATCCGCCGCCAAATCTATATGATGTGGAAAGTTATGTACCCGAACCGTTTGATGATGGCAATGTGCCCGATGTGATGCTGGTCATGCCCGAGCTTCTGAGAGGTCTCATTGATGAGCAGTCCGCCATTGTCTATCACTACTTGTTTCATAAACAAGACATAGGACCTTACATGGACTCTGCCAGAAAACGCAGACCTGGACCTCACTAAGAATTGGCAAAAACCAAAAGAAGGACGTTCGGTGGGTACTTTAGAAGCTAAGATACGTAGAAGACAGTCAATTATATTATACATTGTATTTCAGATGATGTTTCGGCTTTAACTAAGTGTAGCGATTTATTCTAGAAGTATTTTTGGATACCTTAAAACATAACGATTCTTCTCTGAATCAAAGCTGTGTAAAATCAAAATAAAACAAACAAAAAACCATTAACTAACACCTGAGTTTCATTTCTTTGACAATTCAATATATTATTTCCAGCAGCTAATCCATTATTATGTAGTATGTTTTTTTTTAACCTTTAACATCTATGAAGTTGTTGTAGTTATTGAAATGCTAACAAATGTTTTAACGGGCCAAGTTAGCCTCGCATGATTTTTGGCTTGGCTCATTGTATCGCAACCTTCCCCCAATTCACCCCCTCTAACAGTCAGAGGGGGGCTTTAAATTGTCTGTTTACATTAAATGCATAAATTATGCAAAAGTTGATTTTTTTTTTCTTGTAGTCATAAATTCGCTTTGATTTCGCTCCCGGATTCTGAAGTGGCAATTGTCAAATGCATAAAATATGTCCAACCGAATATATACAGATTTGTTTTGACAAGGCACACACTTGCAGCCAGAAGCCAGAGGGAGAAAAGGTCGGTGAGGGAGAGAGGAGATGTGAAAGGTAGCAGCAGCTTTTCAATTTCGCTTTGTATGCATTTCATTTTTACCGTTTCGTGCGCCGATTTTCCACAATTTTCATGGTTGCCCATTTATCCCATAATGATAATGTCTGTTTTGGGTCATTTATGTTGACTTGCAACCCCCTGACGCACAGTCGCACAGCAATTACATGGAAAACCCACCCCGCGTCTATATATGTATATATAATATGATGCTAGTTTCAGAAGTTTTCATTCGGATCAGAGCATGGTTGACGATGTGATATAATTATCAGTTGTGATCCGTGTTGTTGGCCAAGGCATCTTAGTTATGTTATGCTCCGCCCCCAACCCTTGGGTCATATATTTGCTTTTTTTTTTTAGAGACTCGAGCTCCAACATACATAATTTTGTGACGCCAGCATTGAGGGATAACATTTTTGATGTTCATAATTTTCTTGAAGGTCTCATTCAAAAGTTTTTCAATATTGCGGTCCTTTCTTTTTAGCAATTTATATATTTATTTATTTTTATTTTAAGTTTTCTCCATTTTTTTATTTTAAAACTATTTTTGTATTTTAATGTACTTTGTGTGAACAAATTTGCGAATGCTTGTTTAAAAGCATCTGCAATTATGCAATTCCACCTCCATGAACGAAAAATGCGCGGAAAAGGAGACCATCTGATTGGATTATTCATTGAACACGCATTCATTGAAACATGCAGTTCGATGTAGAAAAGGGAAAACTTGGCCCGTGCAAAGCCGGGTAAGACTCTAGTTAAGCAAATAGTTTGGGTTATATTTTTGATTGAAAGTAGGCCTTGAAAACTTAGTCGTTCGATTTCGTGACTTGAGCTGTGCTAAAGCAGCAGGAATTCAGTTCATTTCTAAACTTTCAGGTGTTCGGACACACGTAGTTTTAATATTAACAGCATACTTTAGTTTTCTTTCGGCTGAATATTAATCTGTATCAATTTTATAAAACCAAATTAATAAGTTCTTCTAAATATTGTTAACGACAAATTTGAGAAAATGGCTTTTTTAAGAAATAAGCCTTCTTTGATAAGCCAATTTATTTCGATGAGGACATGTGAGTATATTAATGTTATATATATATATATTTGTTTTAGTATACTCCAGGGCCTGATGCCATAATATGTTATTCTCTGTTTAGGCACTTTTAACATGCTTTGGTATCGTAATAAATCATTCCGCCAAATATTACCAAAATTTCCATATCCAAATGCTGAAACAATGACACGGCATCAGTTAGTGAAGCCTCGACCTCCGCCAATTTATCCGGATACCCTGGCGGACATTGTGACCAGTAAGATTTTAAAGCCCCAAACGACAAAGTCGTTGCCACCGCCCAAGAAGTATGTTGATTTTTTACGTGATGACGATATGGATGACGAGGATGAGGCAATCATAAAGTGGATAAGGACAAAAGATCCAGTAGTCTTGAAGCAGGTGTCAAAGTTGATACCGGACCTTCAAGAAGCAGCCAAGCCCTCGCTAATGATTTCAGAGATTCCCGCACAAAGCTCCTGCGCCAAGTGCGTGCCAGAAAGTAAAGCAGTTAGCAGCTCAGTATGCCTCGGAGGCAGCAGCAGTAGCAGCAGCAGCAGCAGCAGCAGCAGCAACAACAGCAGCAGCAAGAGCAGCGGCGGCAACTGCAACAACAACACCAGCAGCAGTAGCAGTAAGAGCATCAGCAACAACAATAGCAGCAGTAGCAGCAAGAGCAACAGCTGCAGCAGCAACAATATCAGTAGCAAAAGCAACAACATCAACAGCGGCAGTAGCAAGAGCAGCAGCAGCAGCACTAGCAACATTAACAGCAGTAGCAGCAACAACAAGATCAGCAGCAGCAGCACCAAGAGCAGCAGCAGCAGCAACAACAAGAGCAGCAGCAGCAGCAACAAGAGCAGCAGCAGCAGCAACAAGAGCAGCAGCAGCAGCAACAAGAGCAGCAGCAGCAGCAACAACAAGAGCAGCAGCAGCAGCAACAAGAGCGGCAGCAGCAACAATGACAGCAGCAGCAAAAGCAACAGCAATAGCAATGGCGGCAAGAGCAGCAGCAGCAGCAGCAATAGCAGCAAGAGCAGCAGCAGCAGTGGCAGTAGCAGCGGTAGCAGTAGCAGCGGTAGCAGTAGCAGTAGCAACAGCAACAGCTCAACCAATAATCCAGCTAGGTGGGATCAGCAGCAGCAGCAGCAATTGCATCAATTGCAGCAGCAGCAGCAGAATCATCTGATGCGGCAGCAGTATCAGCTGCAGCAGCAGCAGCAGCAACAATATGAATTGCAGCAGCAGCAGCATCAACCGAGGCAGCTGCAGCAACAACAGCAACACAAACGGCAGCAGCAGCAGCAGCAGGATGATGAGGATGAGGATGAGTATGAGCGCGTCCACGGTCAGCAACAGCAACTGCAACAGCAGCAGCATGCGCAGGAGCAAGAGCCTCGTCAACATTATGAAGAGGGAGAACTTCGTCAACGACGGCCAGAGGAAACGTATTTCGAGAGAGTATTTAAAATTCAGCACGAAAACATGCAGAGAATCCAGGAGAACGACAAAAGAATCAAGATGCATATGGACAATGTGAAAATACAGAAGCGGATACACAAGCTAATGCAGCTACAACAGCAACTCGAAGAAATGGAGCCCATCCCCTATACACCGCACAAGCCTAGAAACTATCAGTTTGCTCATACAAGGAATGATCGAATAGGTTCGCAGTACATCGATGAGCTGCGCCCGATGAGTACAGCCAGCTATACACATCCCATATATTGTGCGCGCTTCAAGCATACACTATCCGATTTTGAGCCATATACCCCAGCGCACGCGGACTCTGACAATGGGGATATGATTGCCAAGAATTACAGCAAATCTATGGACAACATACATCGGAATAGACCTGTCCATCAAGAGCTAAACTCGGCTGTTAGAGAAACGAACAGGGAGTCTGCCATGTATAAATTATGTAAAGGACTCTTGGAAGTCAGAAATAAGAGTACCAAGTATTAATGGCACTCTGCCCTCGACTAGCGGTAAGCTGCACTTAACTTGGAAATATTTGGCGTAAAGGTAATCAAAAGTCCCTCAGATTTTATATGTCTCGTCTATGTGAAGCACTGTTAGCACGCTTTTAAATTATAAGACACTGCGCAAACACACAAACTACATTGCAAGAAAACACTCGTGTAATTCCAAACTACTTATTAAAGTGGCTTACAGCTCCTAATATCGCGTGAAATTGTGAGTCTCATTCAATAAGGTATATTTTAATATATGCATATATGCATAAATATGTATAAAATTTATATATATATATATGTATATCAGATATCTTAACCAATTACAGCATTTGATTGATCTTGATCTTTGTATTTAAGAAAGATCTAATTAAATTACAATATCAAAAAGCTGTAAAGAATGATTCGGTCGAAAAACTGATGTGTGGGAAGAGTATATTATATGGCAAATAAAGAAATAATGGGTCGCATATATATGTTACTAGGGTTCATAGCCCGGCCTTGCCCGTGGCACCTATAAAATAAATTTTCCCAAAAAGCTTTAAACATGTTTTTGAAATCATTTCTGTCAATTAACCACTGTTGCGGGTGGAATTTTCCAAAACGCTGATGCATGTATTCAGTAAGTTTTTATATAGGGCTTTGAATAAAAGTGTAAGGCAAATCGGAAATAACTTAACTTCATACGTCTCAAATGATTTTTTATATAGATTGATATGATTTTGTGCGCGAATTTCCATCAAATATTTGCCACCATTTATACCGAGAAATGGATTTTTCAAAAACTGCGAAACACCCCTCAAGTCAATTTGAACAAAGATCTTTAAAAATGAGAGGCCGATCGGACGGTTACCAAAAAAGTGTCATACAAACGTATCTTGCGATTTTTCTTACAGGTGGAATTTCGTGCATCTTCATCACAAGCCAACTACAGTACAAATTTCAGCTTCCTAGCCTTTACGGTATGGGCTGTGCGTTGATCACCAATCAGGACAAACAGTATAAATAGAAATGACTGTAGCCTGAGTGTGGTATACATGTACATATGTATTTACTTGGCCGAATCTGATATTTCTAGGAATGAGCTAGTATATGCCTTAAAGGATTATCTATGCGCTCCTCTGATTGTGACTCACATTTGCACAATCGAATACATTTATTTCATGCACATCTATAAATAGATATTTAAGGATACCTTTTTGCAAAACTAATTCGTGTCATAATGGTTGTTGGAAATCGTATTCTATTACGGGGCACGCCCCCTACTACATGAGTATCAATGTCAGTGGCAACACGCCCGCTTAGAAGCGGGCATTGTGTGTTCTTTCTACTGTTGAGAAAGTCTTGTGCCGTTTGACATGTCAACTAATCTAACGCGCCAGATGACCTCGTTGCGCCAACGGCACAGAAACGCAGCAACCCTTAACACACACGTGAACTCGGCAGCGTTCGGAGGCAAGCGGCAAGAGCTAACAGCATACACACACACACACACACACACACACACACACACACATACACGCGGAGATCGGGGCCATATAATTAGTGTAATTACCTCAACAGCCTACTAAATTCGAGAAAAATGCAAACAAAAATTAAGAAATCACAACATTTATATCCCCCTGTCAACGAGGCAATGAGGCAATGAATCCACAAGGCTGCTTGCAACAAAAGGAAACTCTATGCCCAATCAATGGGTGTGTGTGCGTGTGTGTGTGTATGTCTCTCTCTGCGTGCGTGTGTGTTGTGTGCGTGTGTGTTGGACCCTTTTTGGCATCGGCCAACTGGCAAACAATTGAGTCGGACATCGACAGGCAGGCAGCATCTAATGACAGGGTGGATTGCAATTTTTCGTTTTAATTTTGAGTTCAGGGCGAGAAATACAGAAATTTTCGCAGTTGTGTTGCATTGTTGGGCGCAGGCTGTCAAGATCCGTTATAAATTGCAGTGGCTGCCACTTCCGCCTCAAGTCTCAGCTAATTGTGCCATACACACACACACACACACACGCTCGCATGATTTGGCAAAATAGAGGAGAAGCGACTCATTAGTCAGTTAGACAAAATGTTGCCACATTCCAACGAAGACCACCAGCCAAAATGCTTATCATCCTGGCCGCTTGTTTATTGCTCCTTTTGCTGCTGTCGCCTGGCTGCGCGTTTACATGGAATCTTGGCGGCGCATCCTTTGATTGCCCCTGCCGCTCACTTGCTGAAAATATTTTGGCTACTGTGCGGCACAAACATAATTAACGCCTAATGATAATATTTTGCCAAGCCATGGGAATGCACAAAGAATACAAGTCGTTTACTCGGGGGAATACATTGGCAGTCTTTGTTTTACAAGAATAATAACTAACCTTTTGCTGAGCAGTACAAATTCTTAGCAATTTTGCAAAATATAATTCAGCATGAATATTTTAAATAAATATTAAATATACATAAACATTTTTTCGAAGACTTAAATTATTAGGTAAGCATGGTCCAGACGTTATTGCGTTATTATTATTACTAGTATTATTATTATTATTTTTTTATTGTTATTGTTATTATTGTTATTATTATGTTATTACGGTTAATATTATTACTTTTTTTTTATATAATGTTTTTATTATAAATATAATTATTTTATCTATAATTTATTGTAGTTTTAAACAATATTAATATCTTTTTAATAGCACTGGCGTCTATAGCCCTACTCTAAGATATTACTGCAACCATGCCTTAGCCTGGAGCTGGAACCGAAATCTTCTTCTAGTTGCCTTCGAAAATACAATTTCGTAAATTACCTAAATATTTGCCATGCAGCAGTATGAAGCGGAATATAATTATTTCGCTGGACATTTTCTCGTCATGGTAAAGTGAACAGATCCCGATGTTTTCTTCGGCTCAGCCGAAAGGCCGAAATTTCTGCTTTTCTCCAATTTCCAGGTTACATAATCTCTGTTGTGATCCCTATCATAAATTCGCCTGCACGCGTCATAAAATTGTTGCTTGCTTTTTAAGGAAAACACAACGGAAAAAAAGGAAACTCAAAACAATGCAACTCGAGCTAAAAAATAATAAAATAAGATAAAAAAAACAGTAAAAAATGATGCAAATGGTGTTCGCAGTTTTACGTAATATTCAGGACTGTTCTGCTGTTTTTTTTTTCTCGCGTATTTCTCGGACATTTTTTACGCTCGCGTTTGATGCAACTTTGCTGCATTTTGTGTTTTTTTTTTATGACACGGCCGCGCAGCGCGCACCTCCATTTGTGGCAGTCCTTTGTTAGCGGTTCCTTAATTTTGTTGCGTCCAGTTTTATGAGCCAGTGGAACTTCTAGTTGCGTGCAGTTTTCTTCTCTTTTTTATGTTGTTCAGTTTTTTAGGTTGACACGCGGCGATCGCGGATTCGCGGAAAGAACACCGCACGGCTTTTATGGCTTACGTAATATTACGATCCCGGCGAGCAACGCCGGGCTTCGCTGTAACTATTATCGAGCCAGCCAGTGGCCAGACAAGAGCGGAGCAGCCGCAACAGCTGTGGCAAGAAAAGCGCATTGATGCTGCACAATGTCCTGGACAACTAAACAACTGGACACGCACACATATATAGAGCGTAATATACACACACACACACACACACACACACACACACACACACACACACACACGTACACGTACACATACTCGCACACACGGGTTACAATTGGCACTCCAGATTTTGGCTTCCGGGGTGGCCTCAGCCTCAGCCGCAGGCTGCTGCTGCTGCTGCTGCTGCTGCTCATCTATTGACTTTGTGTCAAATTGAGTTATTCAAATGTCAGGACTCGCACACACACACACACACACACGCACACACTCGCACGCGCACACACAAAGCTACACGCACATGGGCACATTTTGATAATGCGCTTTGGTACATAATTCTCAATTGATATCCTGTTGCGTTGTTTTTACAAAATATTTACCTTTCTCATAATTGAAGTGTCTGTGCCGAGTGACGTGCCACATCCTTTAGCATCCTGGCGTGCAATTTTTCAGCCATTTGTGCATGCTTCGCTACCCCGCCAGTCCTGCCTCCCTCTTTGTCTCTCTCTCTCTCTCTCTCTCTGTTTTGGTCCTGCTCTGGCTTTGTAGAATTCGAGACTTGCTGCCGCTCCTGCCTTTTCACGCTTCTCCGCACGCTGCTGCCCCGCGCCACTGTGGCAAATGGCCTCCAGCGTCTTTCACAGCGGACGCACTGCACCCTGCTGCCCCGAAGTGCCCGCTGAAACGGCCGCTGCCGCTGCTGCTGCTGCTGCTGATTATGTTGTCGCCGTTGAGCCGAGTCGAGAGCGCGATGCACTTGCCGCACGGGCAAAGTCTCCCGTCGTTCGACCCCGTAAATGAGAAACGCTCCTTGGGTTGGCTCAGCTCGCTCCGGCACCATTCACAAAAACACAGTCCACACAAAAACCAGAGGAAGAATAAAATGCAAAAAAAAAAAAGAGAAAAAATTTGAAAGAAAACACAGCAAATGCAGCCAAAAATTTGCACTAATTGTTCTCATTAGGTTTGCCCCGGAGCAGTGCGTGTGGTCAGCTGGCAAATGAAGTCCTGGAGTCGACAAAGTTGCTTTGTCACCTGCAAATGATGCTGGCTGGCATCGTGTCCACACAGCCATTATCAATGGACCACGGGCCACTTGAGGATCGTAGGCATACAAACTGGGTGGCATGTAACAAACGGTGGCTGCAACAATGCTTGCCACACTTTGTCAATGATCAATGTGATCTCTACATCTCTACACAGCAATTCCATTTATTGAGACATCAATGTTCCAGATGCTCAAGAATCTGTGTATATATTTTTGCAAGTATAAGGCATATGCAGAGACAATGCAAACATACTCTAGTTACATATGAACATATATGTACATACATACATATATATTTACTAGGGGAAATTACCCGACGTCGGTCGGCTCAAAAAAGCATCAGCTTATGCATCAAATTGTGTTTCTTCCGGTTCCACTAGATGGGAGCTGCTCAGCTCCCTTTTTTAGCCAGCTGAACTCTTAGCTCGGCTCACTTAAGTCTGTTTATAATCGTGCATTAGACAAATCTGTGCCACACACGGGGCTAATACGCAGCGCAGCTTAACTGATCGAGCATTTGACACGTTTCACGTTTCCCCAACCAAAGGACTCGAGCTGCGAATTAAACTTTGCGAAACGAGCCAAAGCGAAAGTTTTGTCAGGGCTCAGACGCGACGCAATGTCACATGCCCAAAAAATCAAATAGATAAATTGCGGGTATTTGGGTGCACCAGACGAAGACACGTGCAGGAGTCACATATGGAGTGGGGGCGGGCGGTCTGCTCTGCTCTGTTCTGTTCTGGTCTGGTTTGGTTTTTTCAGTCAACCCTTTCGGAGAGCAAATAAATTGGCATTATTAAACGCGCGCTTGCAGGGCTCAGTGAAAATTGATTATTGACAAAAGCGCATTAAGCGGCGTTTTATGTGAGTTGATTTTTATTCCTTGGCAGGAATGGATGCGCATATTAAGGTTCTTGATGTGGTAGCTCGTTGTCCTTGAAATCCTTTGAGCAACCACCAAAAGCCGCCACAGCGTCGGCCAGCAACTTTTTCGAGCGACATCAGAATTCACTTTAATTTCTTGGGCTTGCATTAATGATGACAGCACGAGGGCGCGACAGGATAAGTACACGCCCCCATCCGGTTTTCAAGCATAATTGATCAAGTCGCAAGTGCTGCAACCCAGAGTCTCCACATAATCAATTTTAAATGCTTAGCAAGTGTTAGCTAAAGGTGTTGCAAGGGACCTGAAAGGATACACAGACACAGTTAGTTGATTTAATGGCGCAGCAGCTGAAAGAACATCTACTAAGCTTATAAATATTTGAGTACTCTTGCATTAGATGATAATATGGACACAATTGTATTTCTCATTTCCTAGCAAACACAATTTGATGTTATTTATATACTTTCCTTAAAACCTGCCAACATTTAGAAAATTCTAACAGCAGAACGCATGGAAGTTTCGTAAATATATCATTTTATCATTTGAGGCCTTCTATCGAGTTCCAGAAGGTTGCTTAACATTTATTTTTGATGTTTGATGAATGCTTGACCCCAAAAATTATAAGGACCAAACCTATGGTAAGTTTTGGAGCATTTAAATGAACCCTGAATACCTTAAGCCGACACGTAAAGCGGTTAAATTAAGGGTTAAGCAAAGTGTTCCGCTTTTCTTAAAATGTTTAAAAACAGCTTGGGTTAAACAACATTTTTTTGCATAATCAAAAATTTGTCAATATATATTCAATATAACACATCGATCATAATGCTTTGACGAAGCATTGCTTCGAACCTTAAAGTGAAACATCGCGAATTTCTATTAGATATAGATAATAGATAGATATAGATAACTTATCATATATATATATATATACATATTCATATGATCATATATGTATTTGTTGACATTCCGAGCGGGTTGAGCTACTGCTGTTCGGTGTACGCTATACTCGACTAATTTCGTTTAAATCCTTTGCAGGCAGCTAGATTTTCATGCCCACTAATCCGGCCGAGTTTTACGGGTGCGGGTGCGGCGGCGGGCGGATTGAAACGAGCTGCCAACGGCGAACAATGGCATCATCTATAAAATGACAATTGCAAACAACAATGACGACAATCGCGGCAAGGACAAACAGTAGTGTTGCCGCCGTTGTACTGGCCAGGTCGCTCGGTTTGGCTGCCTGCCTGGCCTGGGCTGAGCTTGGCTGTACGGGTGCCTGGTTCACTCCTTTTCCAATCCTTTTTGGCCCTTTGGGCACATTCTATTCATAATTAGTTGCAGGCAATTAAGAGACTCTCGCGGTCGCTCACAAGGCTAAGGATCTGCGCAAACTGTGTCCTGGTGGGCGTCTGGCCACTGCCCAGTTAAAGTTACAATTCCAGCAGCAACAGCAGCAGCAGCATCGGGACCAGGACACTCGCTCTCGTATCGGGCACGCATGTGCGTTTGCAATTTGTTTATTTTGAAAACAAGCGACACCCCTTTCCCCTGAGGCGAGGGTCACTGATCCGCGCTTTAATCCTTTGACTTTCGGCTCAGCCCGACACTTGGCTTAGTGCGAATCGTTTGCTGCCAATGCTGGTTAACTGGCTGGCTAGCTGGCTGGCTGGTTTCTTGGCCTTTTCCGGAAAGTGTGGCTTACTTTGGTTCCGCTATCCAAAGTTGTTAATTAACATTTGCGCGCATCGCCAGTTAAGCTGCCTGCCGGCCACGCCCTACAAATACGTACGTGCTAGGGGCGTTTGTTGTTTCCCTCGAAGCCCCGGGCGAGCGATCGATTCGCTCATCAGGCGACATCGGGCGAGACGGGGCGAGTCCAGGGAAGGGGTTTAGTTATAATTAACTGACTTTAGACGCGCCTCGCGCCCTTCAGTTGAGCCACTGATCCGCTCTCACCTTGGCTCTCCTCTATGTGTGTGGCCGTGCATGTTGCATGTGGCAAACTTAAAAACAAGTAAGAGGTTCTAGTCGGGAGCTCCCGACTAGGGGATACCCTGAACCCTCTTCTTCCAACATCAAATGCATATATATATTCTATTTTAAATGCAACATATCATGTTTCGTGACTCTAGCTCTTATTATTTACCAAAATTGCCCAAAAAACAGAATATCGATATCGATTTTTATCGATTGCTTGGAAACGGAGTAATTTATCGATTATCGGAAACAAACTCGATCTGCGCAGGCACTGGGAGCACCTACATTTAAAATTTCTATAGCTCTTATATGTTCTGAGATCCTTGCGTTCATACATACGGACGGACGGACGGACGAACGGACAGACAGACGGACAAGGCTAGATCGACTCGGCTATTGATGCTGATCAAGAATATATACACTTTATGGGGTCGGAGATGCTTCCTTCTGCCGGTTACACACATTTGGATTTTGCACAAATATGATATACCCGGTTTTTTGGTCAACAACATTTTTCAACCCATCGATGTTCAATTTGTTTGAAAGCCAATTGATGGTAGGGATCCGTACGCATTCAAAAAGGTATAACATTTAAAACTCAGACATTATTTACCCGAGATATTAAAAGAAATCATCGAAAAAGTTTCGATTTTCGCACCGAAAAAAATCGTGATGATTTGGAAGGTCATATCTCCGCGCGGAGTTATGTCGTTTTGGAACGTCATATCTCCCCGCGGAGCTATTACCTGAGATATTAAAAAAAAATCATCGAAAAAGTTTCGATTTTCGCCTCGTGATGATTCGGAAGGTCATATCTCCGCGCGGAGTTATGTCGTTTTGGAACGTCATATCTCCCCGCAGAGCTACTACCCGAGATATTAAAAAAAAACCATCGAAAAAGTTTCGATTTTCGCACTGACCTCGATTTTGAAAAAAACGTGATGCTTCTTACATTTTCGAATTGAGTATATGTGAATTTTTGCTTGAGTGCAGGATATCTGCTGGTCGAGCATTTGCGACTCTTCTTTTCACAGATTTATATGCGCTTTTCGAAATGCAATCGGTCTTCTTTTCTTTTTCATATATGGTATTATTGTTATTAAATATTGCGATTGCCGTGGAAATGCCCCTAGAAACCAGAAGCCGATGCCTAAACCGAAAATACCGAAAGCCGTGCGACGAGTGTCAAATTAATTAAAATGTCAGCAAAATATGTTCAATTGTTGTTTGTTGCACGCTGTTGGGAGATGGATGACAGTTGCCTCCACGCCTGGCCACGACTTTTGGGCTAACTGTCAAACTGCATTGACAATATTGGCATTTCCAGGCACACAGCTAGGCGGACGGGACACAGGAAGAGCCCCCGCCCTAAGCAGCCGGACGACCCCTGTCCAAGAGACTCTCCCTCCCTCTCTCTCTCTGTCCACCCAGATAAGACCCATTCCGTTGTCATATTTTCAATTTCGATATTCGCACGGGCTGCTGCTGGTGCGTGTTTTGTTAACTACCCGGCCTGCCCGGTCTACCCGCTGCCCGCTCGTAATCTCATACGTTATACAGGCCGTAACCCCCGTCAATAGTTTTGAGGGTTGCCGTTAATGTGCATTTGACATTTGTGAAATGAGAATCTGGGCAAATGATTCGGATTTATCGCAAATTTGTCGAGCGATTTATGTCGATTTACATGAGTGCCAAATGCCAAGTGGCCACTTGAGGACGGCAGCCAACAGCGGCCAACAGCAACAACAGCTACAGGAGGTCCTTTTGTGATACCAGCTGAGGTTGAGCAGTCGACGGCGAATTGTTGCCAAATGTGGGCCAACAATTTGTGCACTCAAAAATGATTTTGAACAATGTCAAGACGACACGAATCTGCGACTCAATGAACAATCAATGGATCTTGAAAGAAACTCGAAGACTTCAATTATTTCCGAGCCGAATATCTTGAGATGTTTTTGTTTTCGCGAGCCGAATTCCTTTGACCACCATTTTTAAGATGTTGCTTGACTTTAACAAATCTTTCTATATTTAATAATCGCAGTAAGCATTTAATCAACAGACCAACTAGTTTAAGGGTGTATTGTTTTTGTGCACATGTATGAAACACGCAGAAGGAAGCAACTATGACCCTATAAAGTTTTTGATCAACATCAAAAGACGAGTTGAGCTAGCCATGTCCGCCTGTCTAGCCGTCCGTCTATCTGTCCGCAAGGATTTCAGAACCTATAATAGTTAGTGAAATTTTGAGAGTATGTCCTCCTAGTGCCCGCGCAGTACGAGTTTGTTTCGATAACTTGCTCCGTTTTCAGGTATGGAAATGCGGACTAGAGATTGTCTGCGCTTTGGCTTGGGGCTCGAACCCACTCGCCGTCTTGAGGCTCAGCTCATGAAAGTGTGTTGACTCAAACCTGAATCCATGTTTTAGTTTAAAGCGTGGTTTGTCATATATTTTTGAAAGCTTAAGCGTTTTTTATCTAATAATTATAATTCTACTGAGAATAACAGTAGATATTTTCATATACAAGATACGAGATACATTTTTGTCGCTCTGATCATTATTTCTTATTTATTATTATGTCTCAATTATCTACCATTATAAATAATATTTTATTTTCTGGCTTTGTTGTGTGAACAGTTCTAAAATTTCTTTTGTATTCTTCCATTGCATGAAATATTATTCCTGTTCCATGATACACAAAGAAATTTAAAAAAATATATATCTATTCTGGTTCTATGTTTAAAACGCGTTAAAAATCATTTATTTGCCATAAGAAATTGTTAATTTGAAGCAGCCAGCCATTCGTTGCTAACATATATATATATATATATATATATATATATATATATAGCAAGCCATAAAAATTTGCAAAAAGCACAACAAAACAAAGAACAACAAACAGTCCAAAGGCGTAAAAAACAATAGGCTAGAAAGGATGTAGAAGTCGCAATCTCCCTCTCTCTCTCTCGCTTTTTTCCGTCTCCCTCTAGTGTAGCCCTCCACGGCGTGGGTGTCGCGTCATGCATGAGCGAATCCTTCCTGCCCTCGCCCGAATGTCCTTTATGCCCGGCCGCGTGTTCGCTTATGGCGAAAAAATACTTTACAACCGCCTTTGGAGTTTTGAAGTCGGCGTCAACATTAAAAAGGCAAGTGTTCATATTCGCGAAGTGTATGTGCGACTGTGTGTTTGGGTGTGTGTGTGTGTGTGCGTGTATTAGTGTGTGCCTTAGTGTGGGTTGGTTGGCTGGCTGCATTCGGGCGAAGGAGTTGGATTCCTTGTCTTGCTCGTTGTCGGTTTTGCAATTGTTGGGCTTGCTGAATGCGCCATA